TTCCCCCCCCCCCCCCCCCCGCATTTAAAGTCATATTGATCTTCCTTTAATTTGAACATATCTATTTCCCTCTTTGATTTGGTCGTATAACACCGAAATGAGTATCCCATCCATTTGTCCATTCCAAGTGAGATAACTCCGTTTCTTGCCTTGTGCAAAAGCCATAACTTCTTTTTATAGACTCATCACCTAAGGACGTTAACAAATTAGCAAACAAATTTCAATTCAAATCAGCCCCAAAATTTATTAAGAGTACATATTTAAAACCCTTTTAAAGGTAAAAAGTTTTAAAAACTAACAATAACACTTATCATATGAACACATTGCAAATTTGATTGAAGATGATGATGAACCAGTGTTGCTGTGATAATCACTATGAAGTTTAGTTGTAAGATTAGGGGCGTGATTGTAAGATTGCTGAGCATTAACTCATTACCCATTCGATTGTTGTGAAGATGATGATAAACGTAGCGTAGTAATATAATATCGTAACACAAACCAACACACCTATTAACATTAGAAACTATCCATAGCTGCTTTTAGAAACTACTGAACTGTTTTTTAATTAATTAAATATGTAAAACACACTTAACAACATCATACTAACTGACTTTATATTAACGGACCTGAGCATTAACTCATTACCCATTCGATTATATGTGAATTCGAACAAACCCAATTAAAATCTTACAATCACGCCCCAGTTCAGTGATTTCTAAAAGCAGCTATAGATAGTTTCTAATGTTAATAGGTGTGTTGGTTTGTGTTACGATATTATATTACTACGCTACGTTTATTGTTATTGGCTAATGTATATAATTATGGTTAGTGGTAGATAATTAGGGGCATAGTTAGTGATTGTGGGTGCTTTCCTGATATCGTGGAAAACGAAGAAGCAACCCGTTATGGCTCGATCTTTTGCGGAGGTGGAATATCGTTCAAGGTTTGTGCTAACATGTGAGCTGAAATGGCTCAAAGGTCTCATATCTATTCTGGGTGTGAATCATATTTCTCCCATGCAAATTTTTTGCGATAGCACGACTGCTCTTCATACATCATGTGGTGTCATACGCACATCTCATGTTTCAACTCATCATCAGTGTGCTGATATGTTAGCCTTGGTTTGCTAAGCCTCATGTTTTGATGTTAACGAAAAATATAAGAGCTTAACGTTTGTTTTAGTGTTTCAGGAAAACAAGAATCCATTAAGATTCGGTACTCAAGAATGAAGTCGAAACACTAAACTAGCGTAGAATATAGGTAGAAACCAATGTAAGGATATGACTTTATATACTTATATTCACAAGCTCAAAAGCACTTACAAAATATGTTTAAAACCATCCCATAAACATTTTCAAACATCTAAAAGGTTTTAAACTCAAACACGAAGGATTAAGGGAATTTTGGAAAAATCGGGACAGTGGCACGGTACCCCTAGCGGTATCCCAAATGGTAGGGTATACCGCCTACACGGTACCCCCATACTGTGTAATGGTACCTAGGTACCGGACGGATGGTTGGTCCAACCCGTCCTAACCGGGTACCGCCAGAGCCAAATGGATTTTTGGTGTTACACGGTACCGAGGTACCGCCACTAACGGTACCCCCCTACCGTACGCACGGTACCATGCTACCGTGTGAACGGTACCGGCCTACCGTGACCGTTGGGTTACTGGTCCTGATTTGAGATTTTGAATTAAATCAACCCTAATCACCTCCCAACGGCTAATTAACATCTTCCACTATAAATACAAGCCTTATCCTTCATATTTCTTCAAGAAACAAAGCTCTAAACATCCTCTCTTTTTATTCTAAGTGTGTTCATCCTTTTATTAATTATTTTCAATATTTTGGCTATTTTAAGAGCCTTAAATTCCTGATTTTTATACACACACTTTGAGCTTGTGTTTCTAGTTATATACTCTCATATTCATAAGTTTGAATTGTATTTTTGAGAGAGTATACTTNATCCTTCATATTTCTTCAAGAAACAAAGCTCTAAACATCCTCTCTTTTTATTCTAAGTGTGTTCATCCTTTTATTAATTATTTTCAATATTTTGGCTATTTTAAGAGCCTTAAATTCCTGATTTTTATACACACACTTTGAGCTTGTGTTTCTAGTTATATACTCTCATATTCATAAGTTTGAATTGTATTTTTGAGAGAGTATACTTCCCTTCTACACCGGCTAAAGTTTTGTTCTTCATTTTTATATTCAAGCCATTGTGTAGAACCTTTGTTTGTGTTCTTCAAACACATCTTTATACGGTCGAGAATAGCCGTTAAATTCTCATATTGTATCGGTCGAGGATAGCCGTTTCAATCCTTGGGTAAAGGTTCAAGGATAGCCTTTGAAATCCTTGGGGGAAGGGTAGAAGATAGCCGTTAAATCTTCATTGTAAACGGTTCGAGATAGCTGTTGTGAAATCTCGGAGTGAATCCTATTGGCAAGGGTTGTTTGCCAAAACTAATGCGGTGCTTTGACGGAGTTCAAGAGGCCGGGACTTAGTGGATTCGGAAATCCTTGAGGAGGAGCCTCGAGGTACTCGAGTAGGGGTTTCCCGAACCAGTATAAAATCAGTGTGCATTTTATTTACGCTTTTATGTCTGCGTTTTATATATTGCTTCCGCATTTGCCAACACCGTTTTTATCAAACTCCGAAAAGATTTTAAACGCCTTATTCACCCCCCCCCCCAAGGCGTGGGCACAACGACTAAACCGACTAACATGATATTCTGACCAAAGCACGTGACAAAGGACATTTCGAGGTTTTAGTTCCCAAGCTGGGCATTTGTCAACTACATGCTCCAACTTGAGAGTGAGTGTTACGAGATTATATTATATATTATTACGCTACGTTTATTGTTATTGGCTTAATTATGTACTCCCTCCGTTCCACAAAACCCTTCCGGTTTTTACTTTGGGGGGAAATAAGGAAAGTGAAATTTTGGGTAACTTTCCAATTTTCCCCTTGATGTGATGGGAAAAAATAATAGGAAGTGTTTTGTGGGAAAAAATAATAGGGTATGAAAAGTAGGGGTAAAAGTGGTTTTTTAATAGAAAGTGGAAGTGTTTTGTGGAAAGAAAAAAAAAACGAAAGAGGAAGGGTTTTGTGGAATGGAGGGAGTAGATAATTATGGTTAGTGGTAGATAATTATGGGCATAGTTAATGATTGCATATTATGGGGAAATAATTTTGGTACGTATTAGGGGTGAGCATGGTACGGTATTTAGCTCATACCGATACCGTACCAAATATTTCGGTTCGGTATGGGATTTTGGTCCGTACCGATCCCGATCTCGATCCCGAAATATCGGTTCGGTATAGTTCGGGATGGTTCAGTATCGATATCGGTACAAATCGGGATAAATATACATACCTACTTTACACGTTAAAATTTAACAATACCCTTTTATTTTTGAAAAATAAAAGTGAATTTAAAATAAAAAATATGAAAAATTTAAAAAAATAAATATTTAAATGCAAGAGATGCGTATCAAAACTTAGTTTATATTTCACAAACTAAAAAAATGAATGGCAACAAAGAAGTATTTCGAATCTTTGTGAAACTTTTATGTTCATACACAAAAATTAAAACTCAAATAAAAGTATAATTTACACATCATAGAACTTGAACCAATTTTTTTTTAAAAAATTATTATTTAGTGAAGGAATATAAAAATATTACTCCGGGGTATTATTTATATAATTTTTTAGTATATATGTTCGGTACGGGATTTTCGGTATGGGACGTCACCTCGTACCATTCCCGAATACCGTACCGACCATTCGGTTCGGTACGGTTTGGTTTCTTCTCGGTACTTTTTCGGTTCGGTATTCTCGGTTTTTTCGGGAAATTTCGGTATCTGTTCGGTACTTGCTCACCCCTTGTACGTATCTAGGTTTCCTTGTATGCCTGGGATTTCCTTTCTCCTTGTACAATATATACATTCCTTGGATGACACAAGGAGACACGCGAAAATTTACAGAAATTTTCTCATAAATATTGTTACGATTCTTTCAATTTGGAACAGGTGTGTTGATCTATAATTGTTGTATCAGTTTGAATTGTTCTCTATTTATATTTAGGGAACACAATGAAAAAAAATTTCACAACAATAAAATATTTTATTTTGCTTTGATCTCGTCAATGTCTAACAGAATGAACCAGTACAAAGTACTTAATTATTATTTAAATGGAAGCCCAGTGAGATCATATAAAAGTAATTTAACCAGAATTTGGTTTAGTGCTAGCTAGGCATTATGGATTGGGACCAATGATTGTTTGCCTCCATAGATATCTGGGAGTTGGTCTTCGTCAATGTCTTCTAGTAATGTTGATTTCAACCGTTTATTCTCCACAAAAATGATCTGCAAACCGAATTTAATTAATTGCAATGTTAAATTGCACAGATACACAAACACAAATTATGGTCCATATATGTAGTAAAGAAAGAGCTGGCTAATATATAATAACCTTCTTCTTGGTTTTGTCATCAATGAAAGGGTGCACTGCCTTGTACAATGTCCAGAACACATATGGTGCATGGACAACGAACACCTTTCCAAGTCTTTCTGGATAGAAATCCTGTTTTTTAAACGATGTATTGAAAGAATTATTTAGGAGGAAATTCTCTGTATATTGAAGTGGCTTGTGAAACTCTCGTCCTCAATTTACAAAGTAGACATGTATATATAGGCTCTCACAGGTTGAGAAACCTAATCATAAAAGGAAATGAAATCAACCCTATACAAGGAAACTACCGAAACTATATACCAGAATATATACGAATATTCTCTTTCCTTTAACACCCCCCCTCAAGTTGGAGCATGTAATAACGAAATGCCCAACTTGGGAAGAAGAAACTCCAAACGGGACTTTTCGAGTGCCTTTGTATGAATACCTGCAAGCTGATGCGGAGTAGGCACATGAAGTGTACGAATCTCTCCTCGCAAGAGCTCATCACGAACGAAGTGACAATCAATCTCAATGTGCTTCGTGCCTTCGTGAAAAACCGTATTAGCAGCAATGTGAAGTGCCGCCGCGCTGTCACACCGGACCGTCATGGGGTTCTTATGTTCAACCCCTAAACACCGCAATATATCCTTCAACCACTTCAACTCACAAGTAAGGACAGCCAAAGCTCTATACTCTGCTTCAGCAGATGAACGAGCCACTGTCGACTGCTTCTTTGTTTTTCATGAGACATGCGAGTCTCCAAGCTGCACAAACCATCCTGTCAATGACCGCCTCGTCAAAGGACATGCTGCCCAGTCTGAATCACACCATCCTGTGAGCTGAAGGCTACAGTCTGCAGAGAGGAAAATGCCCTGTCCAGGACATCCCTTTAGATACCGAACAACTCCAAGAGCCGTAGACCACTGATCCTCCCTTGGTTCCTTCAAAAAATGTGCTAAAGTGTGGACTGCGTAGGAAAGTTCGGGTCGTGTAACCGAGAGATAAACCAATCGTCCTACCAACCGTGGATATGTTTTTGGATCTGCAAGAACTGGAGCTTGAGAACGAGCGAAATGATGATTTGGCTCCATCGGTGCACCCAACGGCCTGGCACCCAATAAACCTGCTTCAGTAATAATGTTCAAGGCGTACTTTCGTTGGCAGAGGAAAATCCCAGATGTACTACGTGCTACCTCGATGCCAAGAAAGAACTTCAAAACCCCCAAATCCTTCATATGAAAACAATTTGCTAAATAAGCCTTGAACTTGCTTATCAATTCTGCGTTGTCTCCGGCAATAATCAAATCATCAACATAAACCAAAACATGAATTACTCCTTTCTTCCCAACAAACGAAAACAAAGAGTAATCAGAGATAGACTGGACAAATCCATAACGCTTCAAAGCTCCAGACAACTTTGCAAACCAACATCTAGGAGCTTGTTTTAAACCATAAAGTGATTTCTTGAGTTTGCACACCACATTAGAAGAACTTGAGAATCCTGGTGGCAATCTCATGTATACCTCAATCTGTAGATCTCCATGTAAGAAAGCATTATGGACATCCATCTGATGCAGCTCCCATCCCTTGACTGTTGTGACAGCGAAAAGCATCCGTACTGTGGTCAACTTGAGTACAGGAGCAAATGTTTCTTTGTAGTCAAGCCCTTCAACCTGATGATTACCAAGAACCACAAGCCTGGCCGTATATCTCTCCACACTACCATCAGACTTGCGCTTGATCTTATACACCCATTTGCATCCAAGGGGCTTTTTATGATGAGGGGGAGGAACAAGAGTCCAACTGCCATTTGCCTCTAGAGCATCAATTTCTTCTCGCATAGCCTTCTTCCATCGCTCATCCTGGAAAGCCTGCTTGTAACCCTTGGGCTCCACTTCTGCATCAAGAGCTGTGAGAAAACATTTATGTTTCTCAGAAAACTTCTCATATGTCACATATGACGAGAGAGGATATTTTCATTTCTCCCCGACATATGGTCCAACCACATGGGTAACATAATCGGCAAGGAGTATATTTGGACATTTCTCACGCTGACCACGTCCCAAGTTCTCCACCGCCTGCTGGGAAGAGGACAGTCGACCGCCGTCCGTTGAACGGTCCACGGGATCGACCGTCTGAAGCTGTTCCGGATCACTGACTTTATGCCTTGGAGACGGTCAACCGTTTTCCACATCACGGTCGACCGTTTGATCATCTCCAAAAGAACCGTCATTTTACCTCTCGGACGATCGACCGTGGATGTCAGGACGGTCCACCAAGTCAACCGTTTGTCCATCTCCCTGCAACCCATCTTTCTGCCTCTCGGACGGTCGACCGTGGACATCAGAACAGTCCATCCGGTCGACCGTCGGTAGTCTGTCTGCTTCACCACCTTCCTCCGGCCGATTGTTCCTCATGGAACGGTCCACCGGTCTTTCCACGGGCGTTTCTTCATCATCTTCAAAGTGATCGATCGAAGGGGAACTACTCGATCCACTCTCATCTGGGATTTCACCTGCGGAAATCAAGTAAGGAAAAATGTTTTCACAAAACACAACATCTCGTGACACACTGATCTTCCCAGTGTCCGGGAAATACACACACCAGCCCTTCTTTCCTTGTGGGTATCCCAAAAATATTCCAGGAATACTTCTGGGTGCAAATTTATCTCCATCTCTTTTCAAATTGTGTGCATAGCATCTGCAACCGAAAACACGTATATGAGTCCTCATAGGGACCGTTCCATAAAGCTTCTCATACGGTGTAACCCCCCTAGCAATGAAGAGGGTGTGCGGTTAATCAAATATGCCGCAGTTTGTATACAATCTCCCCAGAATTCAATAGGTAGCCTTGCCTGAAATCTTAGAGCTCGACCCACATTCAGAATATGACGATGTTTGTGTTCCACTCTTCCATTCTGCTGCGGTGTAGACACACAAGATGTCTCACGAATAATTCCTTTTTCCAGAAAATATTCATTCAAGCATTCGAATTTTGTGCCATTGTCACTGCGAACACACTTTATTTTCTTCTCAAACTAACGTTCAACCATGGCACAAAATTGCTTAAAAACACTTCCTACTGTCCTCTTAGAATCAAGTAAATATACCCACACACCGCGAGAAAAGTCATCCACAACGGTCAAAAACATGGTAGATCCATCCAAGCTCGGCGTCCGATAAGGACCCCACAAATCACAATGCACCATATCAAATTTATCCAAAGATTGATGGAAACTGATGAAAAAACTAGCACGAGTTTGTTTAGCACGTAAACAGACATCACAATGACTATGGCTACTTTTATTTGAACCAATTTCAGGAACTAAGGACAAAACATGTGAAGAAGGATGTCCTAGACGCTTGTGCCAAAGATCAAAGGAATTCACCTTCTTTGCACTGCACGTCATGCTTCTTTCTTCCTTCTTCAAATAATACAATCCTCCTTCATATCTCCCTACACCAATCGTTGTCCTCGAATTTATGTCGTGTAATATGCACAGATCATTGGTTAACTTTGTCTCACAGTTCAAATCCCTCGTTAACTGTGAGACAGAGATCAGATGACACTTCAAAGTTGGAACAAACAACACATTCTGCAATGTCATGGTCCTAGTCAAATCAACCTTTCCGGATTGAACAGACACTACCTGTTTTCCATCGGGTAACCCAATTTCACACGGAGTCACGCCCACCACATCATATAATAACGAAAGATCACCTGTCGTATGGTTTGATGCACCCGTATCAATAATCCAACGTGGTGACACAGAAATACCTGTAAGTTTCTGATTGATGTCTGTAGGAGATAGTGCAAGAGCGTGACGAACATCATTCCACTACTCCATAGTCAGATCTTCAAAATTAGGCAACGGTGAATATCCCTTTTTCTCTTCTTCCTCATCTTTATTGCTGAAAATAATCTTCATGGATGCCTCTTTAGACATACCGGACAACAGGGGCTAACAATGGATCGAACTGCTGTAGCAACTGAAGAAGCTGCCGTCGGGACGGTCGATGCCTTCGACCGTTCCTATCCCGACGGTAGGCCGTTCCGGTCTTTTGGCAGCAACACAAGTGACGATCGCTAGACGCGATGTCGGGCGTGTTGAGTGTGAAGCCAGGAAGCTAGGTGGAAACTAACAGGAAATTGGCAGGAAACTACCTAGAAGCTTCTAACTTCCCTAATCATTGTGCTCTCCTAATTATTCTCTATTTAAGAGATGCTAATGTGCTTGTAATTGTGGTGCAACAGCAAATAATAAAATCCTCCTAGGTGCCCCGTGTGGACATAAGTTGCAGTTGGCGGCCGAACCACGTTAAATCCTGTGTCATTTATTTTTCTGCAGTTGATTCGTGATTGTGTGTTGTTTCCGCGTGCGTTTATTCCCAACAAGTGGTACCGGAGCCTGATTTTACAACACGAGAGCACAAATTGTGAGTTGTCACCTAGGTTTTGGGATCTGTGAACAGTCGCCGTTGTGAGGGCCGCGCCGGAGTGAGTCGCGCAGCAGGGGAGAGAGCCGCAGCCTTGGGGTTGCCTCGCTGCCGTCGTCGCGCAGCCTTAGTTTCCTGTCGACCGCCGCAGTCGTTGGGTAGGGCTTCGCGAGCAGCAGGCCGCGCTGCCCAGATCTACGCCGCCTGTTCGAGAAGGGGGAGAGCTGTGCAGGTGTTCGCCATCGTCTGCGAGCCGCCGCAGCGTCCCTTCGTAGCGCCGCCGTCATCGTCCAGTGCAGAACCGAACCCACCGCCAATCCGCCGTCCGCGTGCAGTCAGGCCACGTTGAGGAGCCGCCGCCGCCGGATTGAGGATCCGCCGCCGCAGTCGTGTAACCTGCGCACAGCTTCGCCGTAGAACATCGGAGCAGCAGCGGGTAGAGAGCTGCCGCCGTCCATTGCCGCCGCGCAGAGACCGCTGCCATCTTCTCCTGCTTGACCGATTGAAGCCTCCGATCCAAGGAGCTGAAATTTTGGGGGGCAGGTGCAAAGAAAAGAAAAAAAAAGGTGGGCCAATTTGTTTTAATTGGTCAGTCATTTTTTTTTAGGCAGTTGGTGGAGTTTTTTGGTGTTTTAGGCTTGTTTTGGTTTGGGCCGTAATTTTTCTTAAGGTGGATATTGGGCTGATTTGTTGTGGCTAACTTAATTGGTGTGGTGGGCCTGATTTTTCTGACAAAAATACCAAGATCTGAAATTAGTTGTACCGGGTATCTTGTCTAGTCGTTTGATATGGCAGAAGATGGGAAGTTCCAAATTGAGAAGTTCGATGGTACAGATTTCAATTGGTGGAGAATGCAAATTGTAGATTTGCTGGTTCAGAAAGATTTGGACGTGGTTTTGGGTGACAAGCCAGAAAAAATGTCGGATGCAGATTGGGCAGTTTTGGATCGGAAAGCAATGTCCGTGATCCGTCTCTCGTTGACCAAGAATGTTGCGTTCAACATTCTGAAGGAGAAGACAGCGAAGGGAATTATGGACGCGCTGTCTAACATGTACGAGAAGCCATCTGCAGCGAACAAAGTTTTTCTGATAAGAGAGCTGGTGAACACAAGGATGAAAAATGGCACTTCAGTTACCGAGCATATCAACAAGTTGAATTCCATCTTAGCCAGACTTTTGTCAGTGGGCATTAAGTTCGATGATGAAGTTCAAGCTTTACTACTGTTATCGTCATTGCCTGACACTTGGTCCGGAACTGTTACAGCAGTTACCAGTTCAGCGGGACCTGACGGATTCACTTTTGAGAAGATTCGTGACCTCGTTCTTGGCGAAGATGTCAGAAGAAGGAGTTCTAGTGAGTCTTCGGAAGAATCACTAAATATCGTCAGAGGTAGAGGAAATAACAGAGGTAGTGGGAGCAAGAACGGACGAAGGAGTCGATCAAAGACTCGGGATAGCTCAGGCGTAACATGCTGGAAGTGCAAGGAGGTGGGGCATTTCAGGAATCAGTGCCCGAAAGAGGATAAGCAAGTGAACATTGCTAGAGGCTCCGCGAGCGACGAGGATTTGTTTATTTGTTGTGCGGAGAGCAGTGTAGATTCCTGGGTCATGGATTCTGGTGCTTCATTTCATGCTACCCACAGCGGTGAAGCATTGCAGAATCTAGTTGTTGGGGACTTTGGAAAGGTACGACTAGCAGACGACGGAGCTCTTGATGTGACGGGCATGGGTGACATAGTGCTGAAGACCCCTGTCGGTTTCTGGACTTTGAAGGATGTCAGAGTGGTTTCAGCCTTGAAGAAAAGTTTGATTTCTGTTAGGCAGTTGGACGAACAGGGACACGAGGTGAAGTTCGGAAATGGGCAGTGGAAGGTCGTGAAAGGAAAATCTTGTCATGGCCCGCGGAAGGAAGAGTGGGTCGTTGTACATGGTCGGGTTACCGTCTGAGGGAGTGACCGTCCCAGTTCAGAAGAGAAACAAAGTCCGGTTCATAGAGTCTCGTGGGCAGAAGAAGGTTTTCTATGCAAGAAAGAAACCCATAGCCACAGGTCAGACTCAGGATGAACGAGCGAGGAAAGGTTCAATGAGGCCAGTCAAAGGTATCTGTGGCAGTGGGAGCACAGGTTTTGCTTCAGCCAAGGTTCCTATAAGACATTGGGTCCGGAGAACCAGTATTCCAGTTGTTGAAACATCTCTAGAAAATTTCTTGCTCAGTATGGAGATTGTTTGTTCTCAGGATGTTCCAGGATCCGGCAGTGCGTGTGTGCAGTGGGAGCCGGTAGGGACCGAGGACGAGTCAGGGGCAGTTCAAGCCATGACTGATGGGTTGAAACTCAAGAGAGTTTCAATAGAGTCTTCTCGATGATCAAGAAGGCTGGTGGCAACTAGAGGTGGTGGAATTTTGTGTTCCATTGTCAGATTACAGAAGTACATGTGCACAGTTGAAGCGCAGGTGAACATTGTTCCGTGGCTTCAGGTAGGAGATTGTTGAGTGTGAAGCCAAGAAGCTAGGTGGAAACTAATAGGAAATTGGCAGAAAACTACCTAGAAGCTTCTAACTTCCCTAATCATTGTGCTCTCCTAATTATTCTCTATTTAAGAGATGCTAATGTGCTTGTAATTGTGGTGCATTAACAAATAATAAAATCCTCCTAGTTGCCCCGTGTGGACGTAGGTTGCAGTTGGCGGCCGAACCACGTTAAATCCTGTGTCATTTATTTTTCTGCAGTTGATTCGTGACTGTGTGTTGTTTCCGCGTGCGTTTATTCCCAACAGGGCGATAGGTGCACAGTAGTCGCGGAAATCCTCTAGGGTTTTGGCTCTGATACCATGAAAGAATTATTTAGGAGGAAATTCTCTGTATATTAAATTGGCTTGTGAAACTCTCGTCCTCAATTTACAGAGCATATATATATATATATATATATATATATATATATATATATATATATATATATATATATATATATATATATATATATATATATATATATATATATATATATATATATATATATATATATATATATATACTCTCACAAGTTGAGAAACCTAATCACAAAAGAAACGAAATCAACCCTATACAAGGAAACTACCGAAAATATATACCAGAATATATACGAATATTCTCTTTCCTTTAACATGTATGCACATGTACGTTTTGGTTACAATTCTCTTAACTCAACTTCAGAGTTGAATCATCTAATAAACATCAAGTTCATTTTTGTTATAGTCTCTCCCTCTGTCACAATTTGGCTCGCCATTTTCTAACCTGAAGAATAGAAAGAGCTCCAATATATCCGCGGACATCGCTATTAGAGTACCCGAAGCCTTGAAGATCTCCTATCACCACAAATTTTTCCTTGCCCGGTGACGTCCTTAATGTGATTAAAATTGTGAATTTCGAGTTATTTTTTTGGGCAAAAAATTAAACAAAAAAGACAAAGTGGAAGAAGGTATGTATATAATCGAATCTGAACCTGGCACATAGTTTGTCCAAACCCAAAACCACATAACCTGGAAAACACCAATAAACAAAATGACATCTAATAATAATGAATAATCCAAAGAATTGAAGAATGTTGGTGGTGTAACACACTAATAGCATGCTTATATTACGACGTACGTTTGAATTCATCGGGAGCTTTGTTTTGGAGATGCCTGCCACCAAACACGACGGCAATGGGGCGTCCTTGTTTGTCCACTCCTTGCATGAACATCTTGTTCTGACCTATCTCGTTAGGAACCTCCGAGACTGAAATGTGACCCTTTGGCACGAATGCACTTCTCCATTGCCGCTCTTTTATCACCATCTTTGTCGCTTTTTCAACGTCTAGATCACGTGCTCCTAGAAACCTTCTCATTTGGTAATCATCCACCACTTCTACCTACGCATATGCATCGGGTGCGTGCGTAAGAAGAAAAGTTTAACAATATTCTAGTACCATAGGAGCGGGGTAGGGTGGATAAGGGGCGTGTGGACGGGGTTCAAGGGTGGGTGGCAAGTGACGACTGATGAGGGACGATGGGTATGGGGATCGATGGGGTGCTGGGGTGGGATGGCTGGGGTGAGGGTAGGATGGTTGGAGAGGGTGGATGGGGTTGGGTGGTGTGGATGGGAGGAGGATAGGAGGGTGAGGCGGGTGAAGGTGGACGAGGGTGGTAGTGTATATGGGGCTCAGGTAGGGGGTGGCGGGTGGTAGCAAGGGGATGGGGTAGGGGGCGGTAGATAACGCCAAATGGCAGATAACAATTCTCAGGCTCTATGATCGACTACACATGGTCAGTAACAAAACATTGTTATTAATTTTATTTATTCTTAACACTACTACAAAAACGACCAAATAAATCGCCCTATTTGCATCGGTCAGTGGAATAAACGATTTATAAGCTAAAAAAATTCACCAACCTCTTAGCATTAAAATTGGGTATTCCTAAAGTAAAAAAATTATTTTTAAAATTATTATATTTAAATTACATACTTATTACTTAAATTTTATAAAATAATGCAGAGTATAATTTAAAAATTATTATAAATAGTGTACTAGTGGAAACAAGTACTCCCTCCGTTTCTTAAAACGGTTCTTGTTTTGACTTTGGGGCAAAATAAGAAAAGTGTAATTTTAGTTGACTTTCCAATTTTGTCCCTGATGTGATAGGTAAAAGTAGGATGTGATAGTTTGGTTATTAGTGAAAAAGTATGATGTGATAGGTAGGGTATGAAAAAGTAGGGATAAAGTGGTTTTTTAATAGAAAAAAGAAGTGTTTTAAGGAAAACAAAAAAAATGAAAAAAAAGGGTTTTAAGAAACGGATGGAATATAATTTATTTTTTAGCTAAATTATAGCAAAGGAAGGTTGAACAAAATAGCTTGTTATACCATTATTCACATGCTAAAAAATATCTTTAGCAAGTCATGTCTAGCAAGTGAGTGTGGTTGGAGATGATCTAAGTGACCTAATTAAAACTTTAATGTATGCATATTTAAAAATTACACCCTACATACTAATGTTATACGGAGTATGAAATTTGTCGTTTAATTTATACAGGTCTTCAAGTAATAAATAGCCCAGTTTATTGTTTATAAGAGAGTTGGATGTTCTACATCAGAGGTAAAATATATGGATCCAGTATGTGTCTTCCCCCAAAGGCAAATTTTATGAGTAAAAATAAGAGTAAATTCCATAAAAGATCCCCAGTTATAGGTCGTTTTACATATTTAGTCCCTACATATCAAATATTACTAATTTAGTCTCCAATTATTATATTCATTTCCACGAATGGTCCTTTCATTACATTTCTATTAAGAACGTGGATAAAATTGTAAATCCACACTCCTTTCTCTCCTCAATTAAGCTTTCTCCCTCCCTTCGCACTCCTTTCCCAAACCCGTCGCTGAGTTTGAAGCTTTGAACCCAAAACCAAAATCATCATTCTTCTCTCAATTGTTTGTCTAACTGGTGGTACCCAAATTCAAAACCAGAAATCTTCATGGATGAGTTTTAATGTTTATTTTCTTTGCAATTTCTTAAGACTAATCGATAAAACTCATCCATAAAGTTTATTGGTTTTGATTTTAGGTTCCACGAGGAAAACTAATACTTGAGAGAGGAATGATCATTTTAGTTTTGAGTTTAGAGCATCAAACTCAGCGACGAGTTTGGAAAAGAATACGAGAGAAGGGAGGAAGCTTAATTGAAAAGAGAGAGAAGTATAAATATACAATTTCATCCATGTTCTTAACAAAAACGTTAACAAAGGAAAATTTGTGAAAAAAATGATATAGTAATTAGGGACTAAATTAGTAATAGTTGATATGTGGGAACTAACTATGTAAAATGACCTATAACTGAGACTTTTTATGGAATTTACTCTAAAAATAAGTATTTTCATACTACTAAAATAAGCATCTGTTTTTTAATAAAAAATTAAAAAACAATATGTGAAAAAGTCCAAAAAAATTGAATACACCCAAAGTACACTAAAGAAGCACTTCTTTCCAAAACACCCATTTACTTAACATGGAGTATAATATAGGACTAAAACATAATGACTTTCTCAATATAAGATCATATGTTTTTTATGTCACAATGTATAATCATTGGCCATTATCTCTTAGTCATTAACTATTTATTTCACTTTGTGTGTCAAATATTAAAATAACTATATATAAAAATATATAATAAATTAAAATATACAGAGTAGAAGTTATTACCAAATTATTGGTATCGAAAAACACTTTAAATGTATTATTTTTAATATTTTTTCTAATATTTATGAAGAGATGATGTTGGTCAAATTTTAAGTTCGAAGACGATAAAATATAAAAGCACTTTAACTTAAGTTATAAAATACGGAGTAAAAGATTTGTACATGAAAGTAGTTGCATGGTTTTAAATATATTTTTTTAGAAACACATCAACATACATAAAAATATATCGGTAATTCTTTTTCTCTAAGTTCATTTGATAAATGAAATACTTATGAATTTGATAAATTTCGGATCTAATCGGTTTCGGGTCTAATCGGTTTAGGGTTTAATCAGTTTCGGGTTTAACCGATTTGGGTTTAATCGATTCGGGTTAAATCGGATTTGGATATGAATCTGGTTTGAATGCATTCTGTTCGGTTTTGTTTCGGTTCGGTTTGAATCATTTCGAGTCAACTTTGATTTGATTCTAGGTTATTCGGTTCGGGTTATCAGGTCCACGCCAGTTTTGTCAGATTTAGTGGATATGGGGCAAGTGCAAGAGGGCAAGGTGAGGGTGGAGGGGGTGAACAGGGCCATGTGGTAGACTTGGTAAAATAGACCCAAACCTGATAACCCGAAACTGAATCCAAAATGACCCAAAAACTGAATAACCGAATTATAACCAAACACCCAAAATGATTTGAACCCAACTGAAACTGTTCCGAATGAATTCAGACCAGAATCAAATCTGATTCTGGTGTAATCCAAACCAATTAAACTCGGAACTGATTAAACACGAGACCGATTTGATCCAAAATCGGTTAGACTCGATATTGATCAAATTCAAAACAAATTGAACTCAAATCTAGTCAAACCTAATGTGATACCCTGATTTGAAAATAAATGGATTGGGAAATAAAAGGTTCAAAGGAATTGATAGTACTACTCATACCAACAAGGTACATCTTCTTTTTGAGAGCTCATCAATAAGAAACTCCAAAGCTAGGATGGGTGACCTCACGGAAAGCTAGGATGTGAAGACAAAGTGTGCGGGAAAGACTTGTGTTGGTTCATGGGGCGAGTCTACAATCCTATGAGCGGACACTTACGACCAGGATGGGAGCCGGGGATTTACAAATTGTGTCGGAGCAACCTTGCGACCGTGACGAGCCAACGAGCTTAGTTCACATAGCGGGGAAGATCAAGGGGTTTGAAGAAAAAGGATGCAACGAGGACGTTCCATTCTTAAGTGGGGGTGAATGTAATACCTTGATTTGAAAATAAATGAATTGGGGAAAGAAAAGGTTCAAAAGGATTAATTGTACTACTCATACAACAAGATGCATCTTTTTTCGAGAGCTCATCACTTAGAAACCCTAAAGTTAAGCGTGCTTGACTTGGAGCGATTTTAGGATGAGTGACCCCTGGGAAGCTCCTTGGCGCGCACAAGTGAGGACAAAGCGCGCGGAAAAGACTTTTGTTGGTTTCTGGGGGCAGTCTACAATCCTATTAGCGGATACTTACGGCCTGGGTGGGGGCCTGGGTGTTACACCTAATAGCTCATTAGTTGATATCTTTCTAAGAAAAGAATATTTAAATTATAAGTACAACTGTTTTCATGTACAAATCTCTTACTCCATATTTTATCACTTAAACTAAATTGGTTGTTTATTTTTATGTTTATTGTGACAAAGCTAAATAGATTTCTGAAAGAGGTTATTTGAGGTTAGTTAGGCATGGCGCCAGTGGAAGATAAGCTTCGGGAAGCTAGATTGAGGTGGTTTGATCATGTGAGACGGTGGAATATTGACGCTCCAGTGCGAAGATGCGAGAGACTCACATTGGTAGGGGAAGTAGGGGCAGATGTAGACCTAGGAAGAGTTGGAAGGAGGTAATTAGACAGGGCTTAGGACTTCATGTCCTTACTGAGGATATGACCCTAGATAGGAGCGTTTGGAGAGATAAGTTAGAGAGACTTAGAAGGGGCCTTGAACTAGAGGGTGTTATTGTTGTGTGCCTTGTTGGCCTTTTATGCTTGGTGATATTTGTTATATTTGCTTGCAATACTCTCATTTTGTAACTTTAATTAATTTAGTTTTAATGTTGTGCGTTTGGTGATTTATTTGCGTTGTATTTGTAATTTTCTTACTTTATGTATTTACTCTTTGATCTTTTTATGCGCAGCTTAAGCCGAAGTTCTCATGAAAACAGTCTCTCTACTTTTGGGTAGGGACAAGGTTTGCGTGCACACTCCCTCTCAAGATCGTACTTCATGGGATCCAACTAGTTGTTGTTGTCGTAACACACGTTAATGGATGTGCTACCTATTATTGGTTACACTTGTATATATACTCCCATTTACACATAGGGAGGGGAGGCTACACACAAGGCTAACATTAGAAATTCTAATACCAAGGGATGTCATCTGAAACCAGCATAAACTCGAATCGATATAAATTCGAATCCGTATAAAACTGAATTAAATCAGAAACTGAACTGAATCGAACCGTACTAATCCAAACCAATTATAACATATATCCGAAAGAATTCCAAATTGAAAAGATCGGAACCGAAACCGAACCAATTGACTTGTTTGCGAGGTCTACCAGGTGGGGAGTGGACATGGCTAGGTGATGTAAATGAGGGGTGGACTCCAAGTGAAATTAAACTACAGCAATCCCTTCTTTGCTCAAGAAAATTAAAGCCTCCCAATCCTCCCATAGAAGACCATAGAAGAGTACATGAGAATGGGAATTGTGCCCAGAAGTCATTCAAACTAAAATATTACTCCCTCCGTCCCCCTAATATGTTCTCATTTTGACTTTTGGTGGTTTTAAGGAGAGTTGAAAAAAGTGAAAATTTACCATAATACCCTTAATGAAATATGAGTGGAGTGTATTAAATGAGGTGGGTGAGGTGTAATAAATAAAGTAAGTGGGGGTAGTTATGGTATTTTAATTGTTAAAAAATGAGATGAAAAGATCTATTGTGGACAAAGAAAAAGGGTTATTGAGAAGATCTATGGGGGACGGAGGGAGTATTTCCCAACTATTCATGCTATTGATAAACCAAAAAAGTGTAAACATTTAGGAAAGGCTAATTGGCGGCATCAGCCTCTTCAGCGACAACTTTTGATGAAGCAAAACAAAAGAATTTGATCTATTTTTTGAAAGCCGATGAAATAGCTCGAGCTAAAGTGAGAGGTTTTTATATGGAGTAATTTACCTAAATAGGGCTAAAACATAATGACTTCCTCAAAATAGGAACATATGTTTTTATTTCTCAATGTAGGACCTTTGGTCATTATAGAATTACTCATTATTCAAGTAAATGTCCATCATTGCTGGGCATTATTCCTTCCACGAAGACATTATTAAGTTCTATTTAGGGAATAAAAAAATTTAAGTCCTAGATTAGGAAAGTCATTATGTTTTATTCCTATTTAGTGCAAATTTCACTTTTATATACACTCGACCAACGTACAAAGTTCATTGGACATAGTTCAATTCATTCAAAAGAGGTAAGAATTATCGGGAGTGAGGGCATGGGTGTGGAGGCGGGGGCATAGAACGAGTAAGAATTTTCTTTCGAAAACTAACGGAAATTATTTTCCTAGAAAATATTTTTCATTAATGGTATGTTTGGTTAGGAAGAAAATATATTTTTCAAGAAAATTTTGATTCCATTCTTCCATGTTTGGTGACATTACTGGCCTCCAATGGGGGGAGGGAATAATTTCCATTTTAAATCAGTTTATAATTCTAGTTTTTTAAATATTAATAAAAGAAATGATTTTTTTAAAAAAATTTCTTCCTACCAAACAACGAAAAATATGGTTGGAAAATGATTTTTTTGAAATATCGTTTTCCTTAGGAAAATATTCTTACCCCAACCAAACACAACTTAAAGGTTATTAAAGCTATTTCCTTAGTATTATATTACTTCTTCTTATTAAAATAAAATGTGGGAAGTTTTATTTTATCTTTGAGACCGCAAATAATGAAAAGTGCAACTATTTAAGGATACATTTGATTTGGAGACGAAAAACTTATCAATAAATAGAACTTATAATGCCAACAATATGAACATATAATATCAAAAAATACCGTAAAATGCCAATATACTAGTGTCAGAGTACAATAACTTTATTTTTGAAATAAAAATATATCGCTCATTTTATGCTCAGGTTATATTTTATTTGAGTGATTTCTTTGAGAAAAAACACTTAAAAATTATATTGATATTCAAGAAGTTATGGAGTACTTCTTAAGCATTATCAAATGACAAAATTCACTATCACATTACCACGGCGTGAACTCTTATTTTAAGGATAAAAAAAATCGCTCTAAATAGGACAAAAATATAGAAAAAGTACTAAAATTGGAGTTCAATGTTTTTATTACTGAAATAGAAGTTTGCACTGTGGTAATGTGTTGGTAATGTGGCACTTTACGTATACATTACTATACTTTTTGGTAATATACATGACCATTTTTGGTAATGACAATACATTTTAACTTCTATTTTGGTAATAAAAATATGGAAGTCTTTTTTGGTATATTTTTAATGTTTTACTCATATTTTTGGTTTTTTCCCATAAAAATATGGAGCTCTTGTTTTGGAACTTTCTCTATGTTTTACTCATATATTTAGGTTAATTTCTTTTAAATTTTTTCTTTCTTTCATTATTAATTCTCATTAATAATTAATATACCGTAGAAATCTCAAATTTCATTTAAAAAAGAATTAGATACAACTTTAAACTTTTCAATATCTAATCAATAAGCATTTTTTTTTGAAATTTCGTAAAACACCAAGTAAAAAAAACACGGTATTTCCCCCAAATTAAAAATCTAAGAACGTAAAAAAAAATATCATGAGGCCGCACCTGAAAAGATGGATCTCGTTTTAGAAGAAGAGCCCTCATGAGCTCAATTTTATGCTTCTCTTCCACGCTAAAAGACTCAGCGCCACTGCTTTCTGTTTCTTCTACTTTCTGCCCCTTATTTTCTTTATTATTATCATTTCTCCCCTCCATCTCCATCACTTACCTCCCAAGTAGAGAGAGAGAGAGAGAGAGATGTGTGTGGCCACCCGGGTATATTATTGCTCTGTTTTTTTTTTTGGGTTTGGTTAATAAATGGGCGGCAAGCCATTGTTGAGCGAAGAAAATAGGGACAAAGTTAATTAAATTAGTGTACAGTTAACATTTAAAACAAAAACATAGACTTGACTATAAGAGGAGAGATTACATGGCAGGTTGACATTGGAGAAGTACATTTTTTATTTTAGTAGAGCTCAACTACTTCCCCTTAGGAATTGAATGATGGTGGGAGAGCGAGTTGGTGCGGAAGGGACCGTAGATGATTGACAATTTCTTTCTTTCTCGGCCACATGCTAGAAAGTGACGCATGATTCATTGATTCAACCAAATTACTCTCCCAATTATATTCAATTATATGGATGGAATTCCAACATCGAAGAATAAAGAACAATATCATTAGCGTATATAAGATGTTGAAGTCCTACCTACCAACTTAAGTTTTTTTAATAGAATTTTGGATCCCGACTTTATATGCAAGTGATTATTTTGCTGATAGATACCCTGGACATGGGGTGTCCGGTCTTTATATATTATTATTTGGAGTGATTTAGTCTGTTGGACTAGCCCGTTAGTCATATACTACTAATTTATTTTAGGGACGGTCTAGTCTGTTGGGCCGGCCCATTGGCTCAAATCCTAGCCCAACCCTCATTATTTATACTCCTCTTTCTAGGAGAAGGGAGGGGGAGCTCATGCTCAATACACTTATTCAACACTATTCATCATTTCCTTCACACATTTTCTTCTTTTTTTCTAACTATGGATTCGCACCATCAATGGTGCTTTCATTTAGAGTTTCAAACACATCAAGTGTGCTCTCAAAATTTTTTAACCAAATTGCTTCCACTATCATATTTTTTTAGAGATTCGTCGCTTCTATTACTGCCGCTGGGATCTGGCTGGCACTGAAGGCCGTAAACGAGTGCGTCCACTAGCTCCGGCGGCCGATCCTCACCATCGGCACTGATGGGTATATCCTTATACCCGACCCGGATAACCGAAAGGGAGAGGTCAGATATGACCGGTCACTTTTATCAATCACCAAATGAGGTTAACTCTTCAATTGGGACGGGTCAAAAGTTGACCGGTCACTTCCACTAAAAAAGTGACCGGTCACATTTTGGGCGATAGCCAATTCGTCACTTCATGTTACGAAGGATAGTCAAGAGGACCAAAGAGACGGGTTGAGCTCAAGAAATGACCGGACAACCTTTGAGAAAAAGGTGACCGGTCATATCATCTTACTTGACAAACATTGGTCCAGTATCTCAGGCATGGTGAACCATGTCAAAGACCGAGGGACCACCCCGCCGTTCGTCCATCACGAGACAAACAGTGAGAGGGATGTTTGTCACTTTGCAGGACTGATTGGATTGAGAATATCCATCTATGGTCTTTGATTGAACANTAAATTCTATGATTGTACAGTGCTTCCATTATCTACAGTGACCTTCCCACGAGCTTCCTATTTTGTCCATGGATGAACAGGGGAGGGTCACAAATCCTCCTCTATAAATATGATGATATTTGATAGAGGAGGGGGATCCAATTTTTCTCTCACTAAAGTTCACTCTTGAGATAGAGTAAGAAATATAATTCGGACTGAGGAGATTTACCCGGTCTAGGTCATACTTTGTGTTCTTGTTGTGTGTTTTATATTACGGGTCGAGTGTGTCCAGGTCAAACCCGGTTAACCCACCCTGCTATATTTACACCATCATTTTTGGCGCCACCCGTGGGACCGATTTTTAAAGTTTTTTCGACCAGGTCAAAACTTTACCCCCACTAAATATCCACAATCATGTCTTCGAGCAACTACAACGCTGTGTCAAGCCAGGCTGCGAGTGAAAGCACTCCTGCCATCCCATTGATGATGTCGAGCATGGGGACGACCTTTGCTCCGATCACCACTGTAGGATCGATTGGCATGATCCCAATCATGTCAACCCCTACTCCTACGCCGACGACAACAATGTTCCCAGGCTCGATAACAACGCCTGGTGGAGCATTCACGCCATACCCGTCAGCTGGGGCTCAGTTTGCTGCTGACCCGGCAAATGCTCAGGCTCTACAGGGCTATCAACTGGTGATGGCCATGATGCAACAGGTAGGGCGCTTCATGCCATTTGCCTATCCCGGCATGACGCCACCAATCATGCCACCTCTGGTGTCGACCCCGTCGACATTTGTCCCTAGGATGGTCCCTATACATCCGGTGAATTTGATGGGGACTATGAATGAAGCAGCGCCCTCAAATGTCCATGAAATCGATGAGGCGGAGCAGGAGGCGGCCCGCAGGAGGAAGGGTAAGGCTATAGCCAAACCCAGCAAGACTCGAGATTCGGCGTTCCAACGCCTAGGGGACAAAGAGGATGGACCCCGCAAGTCTGCCAAGCTACGTCTTGGTCCTGAGATGGGCTGGACTAGCGCAATGGAAAGACTTGGCGGGAATCGTCACGCCCAATCTCGTCGTTCTAGGGAATTTGAGACGATTCACCAAGACGAGGAGGAAGCAGAAAGCCAACCGAGGGCGTCGGCATATACCAGGCTCTCATACGATGAGGGTGACTTGGACAAGATAGGGAGCGTAGCAAGGTAACTACGTACCCTGGAGGAAAAAGTGGAAGAGAAGGCGGGAGCGAAAAAGCACACATTTTCTAAATCTCCTTTTTCGGCCAGGGTACATGCGCAGAGGTTGAGACGGAAGATTAAGCTGGACGTGGAGAAATTCACAGGAAAGGAGGATCCAAACGTCCACCTTGACACCTTCCACAATGCAGCACAGATGGCTGGGTGCACTGATGCTGAGGAATGCCTACTCTTCTTCTCATCCTTGAGAGGGAGGCCGGTGGAATGGTTTAATGGCCTTCCCCATGGCAGGATCGGGTCCTTTTAGAAACTTGCCGAAGTTTTCCGCAAGAAGTACCAGGACAATTGCATCAAGAGGAAGAAGTTCACCTACCTTAACACGGTAGGGCAGAAGGAGAAGGAGTCCTTGACTCAATTCTTGACCCGTTGGAGGGATGAGGTCGACAAGGTAGAAGAGATGGACGACAAGACGGCCATGTCTTTGCTGATGAATGCCTTCCGGTCGGGTGACCTCTACACCGAATTCTGTAGGAGGCCACCCTCCTCTTACCAAGAAGCCTACAATACGGCATGGGAGTATGCCGACGCGGAGGTCTTGAATAAGAGCAAGCGGGAATT